CAGGTCTACAATTTTGTTTCTGGTGTCCTTTGACAGCTCTTTGGTCTTGGCCATAGTGGAGTTTGGAGTGTGACTGTTTGAGGTTGTGGACAGGTGTCTTTTATACTGATAACGAGTTATCTCATCTTTTTGAGTGGGAGAACTTGCACAATTGGTGGCTGACTAAATACTTTTTTGCCCCTTTTTTGCTCACACACACACACACACACACACACACACACACACACACACACACACACACACACACACACACACACACACACACACACACACACACACACACACGATTGTCATTTGATCGGGACGACGCAAAACGAGAAGCATTCGGTCTACAATGACCGAGAAGAGACTGTCAGCATTGATTCAAAACGCACTAAAGCTTTTGATCTTAGTCATTTCGTGAGCAGGGCGGACTGGCCATCTGTAGAATCTGGAGAATCACAGATCACAGAACTCAGCGAGGCGTGCGTGTCTATGGGTGTGTGTGTCTCACCGCAGCAGCTTGGCCTTGCTCTGCAGGCTGTCCAGCAGCTCAATCTTGGTGTTCATGTCAGTCATCTCGTCCTCCAGGTTCTGCCGGGTCACATCCACCTGCTGGCAGAGCTGAGAAAACACACTGGCCAGCTCCCTGAGGACAGAAAGAAACCATGGGGGTCAGGAGACATGCAGCGTTCTTTACACGTTCAAATAGCTTGTCGTCAATGCACAGTTGTAAATGTTAACATGCTCACTGCTGCACTTGGTGGCTGCAGTTGGAGCCAGTGTAGCTGACGATGAGCTGCAGCTTCTCGCTGGCGTAGTCCACAAACTGTCTCTTGAAGGCCCTCTCCTTGGCCTTGGTGGTCCAGGTGAACCGCTCGTAGATGTAGAGGAGTCCGTACAGACCCACTGACAGGGCGATCAGACGCCAGCCCACCGCCTTCCAGATCTGCACACACACACAGCGCCTTATGTCTGCTGACCCCGCCTCTAATATCTACACACACTGGACCAGAGTGTGAGTGTAGAGATATGAGCTGCTATAATATGGATCCAGCCAGTCAAGATCACTGATGGCTTGTCCTGGTGTACAAAAGCTTTTTGAGGGTAAGGGCTTTGAATCAACCAAGCATGAAGAAATAAGTCAATATCAATGCATGTGATTTTTTTTACATATGCATTTTGTAATAAAAATATTGGAAACTGTGTGAAAACGTGCATCATAATAAAACACACGTTAAGAGTGTAGTAATTACTTATTGGTTTATTTTACTGCTACTAAATTTCAAAACAGGAATTCAAAGTATTCAAAGTATTATGTAAAAATGTTTCAACTAGTAAAACTTTCATGTCACTACATTATTAATATGGATATATAGATAAAATGATATGTTATCATTGCTCACACAGGCCCGCCTCTCAATAAATGTAATTGGAAAATAGGGAAAAAAGGGGTTAACCAAGGTGCGTGTACGTGCGTTCGTACGTGCGTCCTCACCACGCCACCAACGACTAGCACACCCATGGAAGTACGTGAGGTGAGGGAAGCGAGACCAGTCACCATGGAGACCATCAGCTCCTCCTGGGTCACGGAGCCCTGGGGGAAGGGGGGCATGCTGCTGCTGACAGGGGTCAGAGCCAGGGGCCGGGGGACCTGCAGGGGGGAACAGGGCCACATTCAGAACTGGACGCTCCAAACAGCATAGCAAAAGAACCTCAACGCTACAAAGTCTCTATGGAAAGTATGTAGGAAGTAGAGAAATACACAACTTTAGAATTTGCAATTGTGGATAATTCTGAGGTAGCATGATGAGCTGATTTAAGAAAACTTGTCTTATTCAACATTTGTTCATTGTTAACATTTAAACGATAAGATATACGGAAATGTGTTCTGGACTCCGTCCTGTAATTCCACATACATGTACATATACAAACATAGTAAACATTAAAATACATACACATATCATCACTCATACACCGTTTGCACATACACAATACACAGACGCACCTACTGATGCAGGCGACCTATTGCACAATCCTCATGGCCAACATGAGTATTACATCACATGTGAGTGTTGAGCAGCGTAATGGACAGAGGCAGGAATGAGTGCTTCTAGAGGTTCAGCCTGCTCTTGGGAACCCTGCATCTTCTACCAGAAGGAAGGAGCTGGAACTCTGGGTGGAGAATGTGGGGGGGATCAGACACGGCTTGTTGTGCCTGTCTAATAATGGACTGCTCATGATACCATATCTTATGGTGCTCTCCAACACTGCATGATAAACCAATAACATGAACTTCTGCTCGACTCCGTAAGCCCTGAGTGTACGCAAAATACAACCGTGGTTGAAGTCTAGAGCACAGACCCTCTACATCAGTGTTTCCCAAACCTTTTCACACCAGGACCACTTAACCAATAAAAAAACACTTGCGGACCACCTAACTCAGGGGTCGGCAACCCGCGGCCCACGAGCCGCATGCGGCCCTTTAAGCCCTCTGCTCTGGCTCCCTTGAGCTTAGACAAAAATAAGGAGGAAATAAAATAAAAGTATTTGTAGGACGATTTCTATTTTCTTGCATGGTTGAAAATGTTTCGTATCTTGTATTTTGAGGTGATACTGTGACACATAAATAAAAAACAAAACGGTTTTAATTAGGTCAACTAAAATATGCGTCACATCCCGCTACGGTCCCACGCCAGCGCTTTTTCTTGCAGGCGAATAACCTGACTATGGATAAATCAAAGAAAAGAAAAGTACCGGAGGAACACAGGATTTAATTCTGCGTGGACAGAGTTATATGTTTTCACAGCAAGCGATGCTGGTTTACCGGTATGTTTGATATGTAGAGAGAAGTTGTCAAAGGTGCTGCAGCCTTTACGTATCGAGGAACAACAAGGGAGAGGAAGACAGCTGACGATCTTTAGTCATAATTCAATGGGGTATGTAATTTATTTCAGAAAACACTTTGTTATATTCCATGGAATGCTCTTAACGTCCCGATAGCAATGAATATATTAAATGCTTTGACAATAAATACATAAACATGTTTATCTGTGGAAGCCGTAGTACTGTAAAAAGCACGACCAATCATTTGAGCCGGCCCAGCTAAAATAATTGGATGGCCTACCTGCCTGTCAGCCTTCCATCTGTGCACAAACTAATCTCGTGCCCTCATTGGTCATGTGCACGTTCGTGTGTGTTGGAGGAGGGGCTCTGTGAAGAAGTGTAAAGGAAGAGGCAGATTTTTTCCGGTTATGTATTTTCAAATTCTAACGCACTCGAGCTGGTTTCTCCATTCTTACCTACCCTACCTTTAACTCTTTTTAGGTTGCAGCTATATGTTTTATTTATTTCAAAATGGGCCCATTTTGATTTATATTTGTTTTCCTTCAAATGTGCAGAGGACTCCCCAAGTGCCGTGTTTAATTTATTTTAAAGATTACTAATCGCCTGGAAATTGTACAAACAAGTAGCAACGTGTTTGATGAAGGTGTTGCGCTGGGCTATGCAATTGAAACTTAAGCTCGGAAAACTTTAATTAATTAATTAATTTCCAATATGAAATGTTACCAATATACTCACAGACCACTAAGGGGAGGGTCCCGGACCACCAGTGGTCCGCGGACCACACTTTCAGAAGCACTGCTCTACATGGACCCTCCAGCTGAGTGTACTATCTATGAACACCAAGGTACTTATAGGAACCTTACTGCCTGATAAATTGCACACTGGATCTACTTTATTGTAAACTCTCAAACCAGCAGTGCCATTAGTGCTTGCGATCAATAACTAATGCATAAGGTCATGATTAATTTCAATGAGGGATATACACCATGTCTAATCAGCACTTACAGTCAGCAAATCTCAAATTGTATTCCCTCTATATTCTGAAGGTTTTGACGGAGACCCCTCCCCCTCACATTTGTCCTGATTGTTACAAAGTATTAGTCCTAAAACATGTTGAAATGACTTTTGACAGTGAGTGATGCAAAGAGATATCCAAACTTCCCTCAGTAGAAACATTTGACGCAACAGAATGGAACCTGTCCTAATTCCATGTTCACCTTTCTGTTCTGGAACTGTGTGCAGATTAGCACATATGTTATTATAAAATGCCTCATTTGCAAATTTGAACATTTAAAAAAATGTTTTATACAGAAAGCAACAGTATAGTTAACGCCATCCATTACTTAACCATCCATAACCCCAAAAACCCCATACATTTTTCCAAACATTTGAATTAGTAAAGGCAGACCCAACTTCAGTCCATGATTGGGACTAGAACACTTGCAAACCAACATACTTTGTCCTCCACTCTTTTTATAAATATACCCTTTATTCTACCCTCTTGTGAGGGGGTTGGAGATGTTACCTGGTCATTGTAGCCCATGAGGGCCCGTCGAGTGTTCTTGGCCCCCAGGAAGCGGTTGACCAACATGGTCCAGCCCATGGAGAAGTGGAAGCTGATGTCCTCCTGGAAGTCGCTGCACAGCCTGTCACAGGCCAGGTCATAGCTGAGGCTAAAGCACTGCCGGGGAACCAGCTTGTCTACCTGCTCTCTGACTTGGGGGGGCAGCAGAGGCTTCAGACCATCTGCACACACACACACAAATTAAGATCATTTTTCAAATTAGCACAGATTTCAGTGACAGCGGCAACATTTAGGGTGGGTGATGTGACCTGAAATGTATATCACAACACATCTTAAAATAGACCTATCATGCTATATTTGAAAAATATATTGTAGGGCCATACCTATATAAAACATTTTTTCAAAATACCAAACAGATCACCCATTGTAGCCATGCCTCATACTGCTCAAACCCCTCTTTTGAAGTACTGTTAGAGAAACTCAGATTTTGGGTCCTTAGCTTGAAAAAAAGAAAAAGAAGAGGAGGCGGAGCTAATGCCTGATCAGAATTCTACCAGAGATAAAGTAAAATTCGGTTGTGATAAAACGCCATCCTGTTTAAACCATGTCAAGGATTATTTCTGAAACAGTATGGAGCTCAAATGCTTTTTCTCTTGCAGGTTTATCACAAGGTGAGTTCTTTTTTTATTTCCTGCTTTTTAAATACATGTGCTCTCCAGTACAGGTTAGCTCTGAGTGTCAGCGAGGCTTGCTAATGTAAACAAAGACGTCCAAAACACGTCAGGTATTGTTTCTGATAGCAACTTTCTGTGGGTCCGCCGACGTCACAGCGGATGGAAATCTGTATCCGCCCGTTTTTAAAAGATTTGGGTACGGAGGAAAAGAGAGAGGGTTTTATTTTCTGACGCAGCGTGAGTTCCCCGACACACCGGGGACACATATTTATGAATAAAAGACATCACAAAGTGCATTTTGCTTGATAGGTCCCCTTTAAGAAAAAAGTAATAAGGTAGTCTGGCTCATAATGTCCGTTATTTAGCACATGTAATGTGATTCATCAGTAAGTGTTGAGTTAGTAGTAAATTACCTACCCCACCTTTAAAAGGTAGGGTAGGTAAGAATGGAGAAACCAGCTCGAGTGCGCTAGAATTTGAAAGTACGAAGCCCAAGAAACACGCTCAGGTACTGCGGACCATATGTGCAGACCGCATAAACTAAAGCTTAGCAGACTCTTCACGCTAACGAAGGATCACTTCTAGGCAGGGTTGGGAGGATTACTTTGTAAATGTAATCAGTTACTGAATACTGAATACATGCTCTG